AAAACAGTGAGGGTGTAAACCACTGTTAACAATGTGTTCCACTATTACAACAAAACAGTGAGGGTGTAAACCACTGTTAACAATGTGTTCCACTATTACAACAAAACAGTGAGGGTGTAAACCACTGTTAACAATGTGTTCCACTATTACAATAAAACAGTGAGGGTGTAAACCACTGTTAACAATGTGTTCCACTATTACAACAAAACAGTGAGGGTGTAAACCACTGTTAACAATGTGTTCCACTATTACAATAAAACGTCAATGTTTCCATGTATTCTTTCATCATACAATGCTAAGAAGACCTGTTTCTACAATTAAATACAAAAGAGAAAAAAAAGAGTGCCCTAATAATTTTTTGATACATACTCTTCTAAAAAGTTCTGTTGGGGCCCAATGATGGAGCCCGGCCGTGATATCCTGCACCAGGCTATACACTCGGCAGCCGTGAACTTGTAGTGTTTCATCATATAGCAAGCAATCAGAGTACCCGTACGACCAAGACCCGCTGTAAGACAACAAGAAATTGTTTAACCTACTCAACAATTACAAAAACAGTTAATGGTTTATCATAAAAAAGGTAGATATGAATTAAGCACAAATTTCACTAACAGGTGCATTTGTTTCTCCTCAATCTAATTCTAAGCACTGAGGTAGCATTGAAGGACTATAAATGGACATATTGAAATAATAAATGTACTTCAAACGAGAAAAACTAACAAACAGTCATCAGTATATACCACTACAATCATCAGTATATACCACTACAATCATCAGTATATACCATTTGTTTTGACTTGCATGAAAAATGCCCGGTAGTGACATTTTCGAAATTGTGATGATTCTCCAAAGGAAGAAACAAGAAATTACATACCTCATAAAATATAAGTGGTATACATTTGTTATTTTAAGTGACGGAATTAAACTCTGCAGACTCAATAACCCTTTACCTTCCCTTAGGCTAGTTATCTTTTTGCAACTTCTTTCCAAACATTCAGCAGTTACAAAGACTGATACCATCTCAGATTATTTCTTTGAACTTTAATTCATCTCCCTACTATCAACTTTCCATTCTCAATTTCCATATGAATCAAGTTGCTTGAAAGCTTACAGTACTAGTGTAAGGGGAGATATTAGGTTTTTCAGTGTAGGAAGTAATACATGTGTACCCATTATCACCAAGTTGGCTGAGGGTTCTCTCCCTTTAAGTCAATGGGATCAAGTTAACATACTTACATATTTTGGTTCTGAATTAGAAAAGGTCTAAATCCAACATGATTTATGAAACATGTACTGTCCTGTAGCTACAAGAAATGGGACCCACTTCTGTGACAATTTCAGGGATTGAGGTTAACAATCATCCCACACAACGTTTAAGGGCTCTTTAAATCCAGGATAGTAATGACTGTCCTTAAAAAAAAAAGACACAGCTGAAAATTTGAACAATTATGCTAGTTGACTAAGATAAAGTATCAGTGACAGGTGCTGTACCTTTACAATGCACTGCAATGCCTCCCTCGGCATTCTCACTGAGTTCTAAGAAATGCCGCATTATACTGTCGCTCGGCGTACTGCCATCTATGAAGAAAAGGTCAAAGTGGTCGAAGCCAGCATCAGTGAACCGCCGGGCGTCGTAAATTTTCTTGTTGAGCCGCACTATTGTGGTGACGTTGTGTTTTCTGAAGTAAGGGAAGTACGCCTCTGGTGCATGGAGGGGGTAGCCTGAGAAAAAATATATCATCAAACATTGATTAACAGAGCAGTATTCAGACAATTTCGTGTCAAAAAAAAATTAAAATCAATTTACAAGTTAATGATTTTGAATGATTTCATTAAAATTTATCTACTTTCAGCTAAAAAAATGTATTATACCAGTATCTGTTCTTAAGATCATCATTTGCAAAATAATTTACATGCCATATAATTACGAAAGAACACATTTCTAAAATCAATGGCAAAATACATTACAAACAAATCTGTAATAGATAACACAAATCTTTGTATGAAAAATTTACTTTAAGCACAAAGACTTTATTTAGAACATACTGACGTTAACTCTACAGAACTGCATGTAATTCTGACATATCAGGTACAGGTATGTAGATCTGTACACATTGGTTAGGAATCTAGCAGTACATAATGTACATATTTTTTATATGATACTTTTCACTATCTACATGGGTGGCCTGGTAAGATCCTATCACAAAAAAGGGCTAACCACACGACCAAAGTGAAACTTTGAATCATAAGTACCAGTTTAACTATAGCCCTGCCAACCAAACATGTAAAAAGACATTTTACTACATGTAAAACCAACTTAATTTTCGATGAAAAAATAAGCTAGAAAGGACATATCTAAAAACATCCTCAATAACACCCCCCAAACAGGGTGATGACATGTCCTTGTGTGACAGGGGACAGGGTGATGACATGTCCTTGTGTGACAGGGGACAGGGTGATGACATGTCCTTGTGTGACAGGGGAATGTATCTCATTTTAGTGCTCTAGATGCTGAATGATCTTCAACATGGCTGTAACAGATCATCTGTTTGTCCTCATAGGAAAACATATCCTCTACTACCACTTCTGATGCCGTGACATCGTCAATAACATGGCCTGAGCAGGACATGTATAAGTCTTTGTGTGTTCATAGTGAAATGTATCCAATCTAGAGGAACATCACCCAACAGTGCTGCAATTGTTGCCCCCCCCCCCCCCCCCCCCCCCCCCCCCCCCCCCCNGCTGGTCTTTTAAAGCTTACAGAGACAATTTTACAGGGTGGATGTTTAGATTTTGGATTTGGTGGTACAGTAGTCAGTACATTTTATACATGTAAATATCTCAGCAAGTACAAGGCTGTTTTTCTGCCACTACTAAATAGCCAACTACCCTATAACATGCTTTATATAAAACTATTGAGATTCCTTATGCTAATGAGGAAGGTTACATGATCATGACTGGTATGAACCATGCACTGTGTACAATGATGTAGGTAACAGAATGGAAATGGCTGTTCTACTTACTAACAAATCTACAAACAGAATCAGGAATCTGTCACACTTGATATGGACTTCCAAATAAATATATATAGCTTGCTTCTCATTTTTAAACTGTGACAAAAATATTTCTTTTCATTCATAAACCAAAATTGCTTTGAGAAAAGGTATGGAATACCAGGAAGTGATCTCAATTAAAATTATTCCCAGAAAATTTCTTTCTTATATTAAAAAATATATTTTTTGATAGAAATGATAATAATCTATGTTGGCAAGTAATGTATGTGAGGTAATATAGAAGTCTGGTGGTTTACGCACTAGAGGGAGGACAGAAGTTTTGAGATTTTTTGAACAAAGAAAAATTGCTGACTAACATGACTAAATGGATGGTGTTTTTAAAGGCACAGCAACAGAAGCTGTTAGCAGATAGATACATGCATGATTCAAAGGTCACAGCACGTGACTGACATGGCTACTCCGGATAACTACAGCTATAGGTGTAGCACTCAGCGGGCACGCTGATGATGACGTCATACCATTCTCTATCTGGCTCTTGGAGTGGGGACCACTAAAGGCCAACATTTTATGGGGAATGAGCCAATTGAGGTCCCCGTTTTCCACCCGCTAGAGAGGAAGAGAAAATCAAAATCATTCTCATCAGAATACAGTCCAATCCCCTAAAAACATTTATGATGAAGTCAATGTTTTTTGTACCTATAAGAAATCAGAAAATCCTTTGACCTCCAATAGAAACATGGAACTGTCCAAATGTATACACATTACATGAAATACTATCAAAATATTGTTTTGTTTTTTAAATTGTGCAACATTGGAATTTTTCAATTTATTATTTCAATTTAAAACATTTGTGTAAAGGACAAAAGACACTTCTGATTTCCTGTAGGTTCGGTGTTAGTTGACATTGACTTGTATGTAAGTAACAAAGAGTGAGGTTTCCTGTCCAGAGCACATTATCAAACCTGAATCACGGTTTTAACCTTGGTTTAGCTACATTTCCCAGGCCAGAAACCACGAGTCAGGTTTTACAATACACAGTGGACACAAACTTCTCTGCTGAACCGGCGCCAGACGCCCACAGCTGTGATAAGGTATTAGTACTACACGTTTGTCAACACTTAAGGGGCCTACCATTTTCAATCTTGGTTTTGGTATGAGGCCCACAAAAGGCTAAGAATTTGTTTGGCACAATCCAGTTGAAGTCTCCATTTTCTACTTTCTGGAATAAAGAATCGTCATCACTCTCATTAAGAATGACCCTGTGCCTCAAATTAACAAAATAGTGATAAAGAATGTGAAAAGAATTTACAAGAAAATAATCTGATTTAAAATGGACCAGATATACTGGTAACAGCAAACAAATCTACAGGCAGAGGAATAAATACTATATTACAAAAGCTAGATTAATCATTACCGATAAATTAATTATATCAGAACAAATATTCTAGCTCTGTCATAAAAAATAAAAATGGCTATACACAGCATAGCAGTGTTCTATTGGTTTGATTTTTTTTGTAATGTCATGTCAAACAATATTAAACAACATTACACAGTCAAAGGCCAAATAACGAGAAACAACATCACACAGTCAAAGGCCAAATAACGAGAAACAACACCACACAGTCAAAGGCCAAATCTTAACGAGAAACAACATCACACAGTCAAAGGCCAAATAACGAGAAACAACATAACACAGTCAAAGGCCAAATAACGAGAAACAACACCACACAGTCAAAGGCCAAAACTTAACGAGAAACAACATCACACAGTCAAAGGCCCAATAACGAGAAACAACATCACACAGTCAATGGCCAAATAACGAGAAACAACATCACACAGCCAAAGGCCAAATAACGAGAAACAACATCCCACAGTCAAAGGCCAAATAACGAGAAACACCATCCTAAAGTCAAAGGCCAAATAACGAGAAACAACATTACACAGTCAAAGGCCAAATAACGAGAAACAACATCACACAGTCAAAGGCCAAATAACGAGAAACAACATTGACAATATTGTCAATCAAGATATATCACAGTCTTACAAACATGTAGATAGAACGCAAATTTGATCAAACTCCTTTTGTAATTTCATTAAATTACAAAAATGTTTGAAAATCAGTATATTGGATAAATGCATGTGTAGACTTTATCGATATGGAGTTATAGGACAGAGACTTTGTCAATATATTGTATACAAACTGTTGGGTACACTGTAAGATAACACATTCTGTAGCCTACAAAAAAACGACAAACCTAAGTCCTGTATGAAGAGAGAAAGTCTCTGTGTTTTGATGCAAGTAATAACTTTACATCCTACTATCTAAAGTATATTCAGATCTTTAAGAGTGGTACATAATTGATAAAGAGTATTGATGGGCTTGATCAAAGTTTGTGAGAATTTCTACAATTTTTTTTCTACTACAGAGAAAATTATCTTGGGTTTTCAAAGCTAGTTTGATTATTAAGTCATACATACCTCATAATGTTCATATTCATCCACATCAAATGTGTCAAAGTTAAAGAAACCATTTGCTAATGCCTGAAATATATGTATAAACAATTATATAGCAGAAAATAAATCGAAGTGAATAAGCTGGCTAGTCTGTGTTTACCATATGATGCAGTTTAAACTTTATCAAACATATTCAGACAAAAATGTATTAGAAATCAATCTCAGCAGAATTTTGTAGCCAGGGAAGATTAAGAAAGACTTAAACTTGAAGGAAGTCTTGAAGTTGTTATTTTCAAGCTGGAATCAATTGAAGAGCAAATTGGTATTTTTATTATTCTCCCATGTCTAATTCATCTTTACATCAAGAGTATCAAAATGGTATCGATACAAAACTTGAACATTGGATTAAAATAACGATTTGGCAAATTTTCAAAAATACAATTTGACACTCACAATCTATTTAAGGCATTCTGGAGCTTGCACAAAACTTTTTAACCAGCTGCATGCTAAATGAGTCGACTAAACCTGGCCAGACGTTTTATCAGTGCCTTGGCCTGCATATCAAATCTGACAGACAAAGGCAAATAGTGACTTACCTTACTTATACCATGTAAACAATCTAATAGCGTTAGGTTGTATGTACATGCTCCAAAGGAGGCGTCCCTACAACACACAAAAACTAATAAATTACACTCTGTACAGGCGTCCCTTCACCACACAAACTAATAAATTACACTCTGTACAGGCGTCCCTACAACACACAGAAACTAATAAATTACACTCTGTACAGGCGTCCCTACAACACACAAAAACTAATAAATTACACTCTGTACAGGCGTCCCTACAACACACAGAAACTAATAAATTACACTCTGTACAGGCGTCCCTACAACACACAGAAACTAATAAATTACACTCTGTACAGGCGTCCCTACAACACACAGAAACTAATAAATTACACTCTGTACAGGCGTCCCTACAACACACAGAAACTAATAAATTACACTCTGTACAGGCGTCCCTACAACACACAGAAACTAATAAATTACACTCTGTACAGGCGTCCCTACAACACACAGAAACTAATAAATTACACTCTGTACAGGCGTCCCTACAACACACAGAAACTAATAAATTACACTCTGTACAGGCGTCCCTACAACACACAGAAACTAATAAATTACACTCTGTACAGGCGTCCCTACAACACACAGAAACTAATAAATTACACTCTGTACAGGCGTCCCTACAACACACAGAAACTAATAAATTACACTCTGTACAGGCGTCCCTACAACACACAGAAACTAATAAATTACACTCTGTACAGGCGTCCCTACAACACACAGAAACTAATAAATTACACTCTGTACAGGCGTCCCTACAACACACAGAAACTAATAAATTACACTCTGTACAGGCGTCCCTACAACACACAGAAACTAATAAATTACACTCTGTACAGGCGTCCCTACAACACACAGAAACTAATAAATTACACTCTGTACAGGCGTCCCTACAACATACAGAAACTAATGAATTACACTCTGTACAGGCGTCCCTTCAACACACAGAAACTAATAAATTACGCTCTGTACAGTGCTGGTCAAATAAATCTTATAATTTTTTTCTGAAAATAGCTTATTGATTTATAAAATGCAGAATCTTCACTTCAGAAATATAAATTTGAAATTAAACAGTCTTAGCAATGACCATACTAAAGAAAATGTAAGCACTTTTTATATAACTACATATTTTCTGCTCTTTTCACTTTCAAAAATGACATTTTTTTTTATGATTTCAATGTTATCCAATAGTAAAATGATGTGCATAAACCTAAATGATAAATATACCCTTCACTTAATGTATCTGTACATCAGCCCACATATATGTCCATATCTAGGTCTTGGTTTCCATTTAAAAGATTTATTTAGGCATTAAATAATATTTTTGTGAAAACTGAAAAATGCTACAGGGTCAAAGAATTTTTCAAGTTAGCAAAGTTACATTCTTCTTAAATTGAAGATACCATTTATTTCTATTTATTAGAGATGTGATTCAAATTGTAGTAGATATAGTGTACATGTGACATGATGTGTATTACACACGTCTATTTATACTGTAGAGATATATTTTACATACTCTACCTTTGTCTGACTTCATTATGTATTGACATTTCTTTTATACCTCGCTACCTGAACGGGATATCAGTGTTTCTGGCACCATGACAAATAATGTCCGCAATAGAAATCTGAAGACCACCATAATCCTACATTTCAATAACTCCACTGATCTTATCAATATGTATTATGAAACGGAGCATAATCTTGCATTTAAATATCATAAGTCAACTTACAGTATAAGCAATTTTGAAACAGACTATAGGCTAAACTTCACTGGGACCTTTAAAGACTTAAGCATTGTCCACCACACAAATTACATTACTCTTATCGCCATAAATCTCATTGTATTAGCATATATGCTGATTACAAGGAATAACTACAGACTGTAAGTATATCTCTCTACACAGAGAAATACTTCGCCAAATTTGAGGTAAATGTTAAGCTGTGAATTACAGATATAAATCTGCTTGCCTCGAGACATTCAGCCTACAGGGATTTCCTTAATCCCAGGACAGCTTTTTGGAACAGGAAATTTAGACTACCTGGTCTACATGTACAATAGTACCTATTTTCATACCTGAGTCATATACTTGTACAACTGTGACAGTATAACTTACCTGAAAGGTAGAAATGGTGGGTTGGAACCAGCCACTAAAGGCCTGTATGCTTCCTCTGGGGTTTTCTTGAGATAAATAATCTGTAGTACATCAAAGAGCTACATTAGTACAGAAACACTAACATTGATATAATACAGTAATGGTGTAAATAGATTTGATACAAAAGCAACCATTTTAACGTTAGTCCCATATTTCATAGAAAATTAGTGAATCCTCCGTAAGAAAGAGAATAGCTTTATTAAGAAACCCCCTTTAAAATCTCAACATTGCATTTATTTTTACGCTTAGAACTGAACCTACAGGGGGTATATTGAGAATACACAAAGGACTAAGGAGTACCATCTTGATTGTACAGCCAAAACTAACAGTATTAAAGGTATTGCCCAGGAACAACTATTTAAACCTCAAAAGGAATATATCCATCTTTCATTAAATTAATTATATATATATGTGACATCTGAAATATTTGATGCATTGCTCAGCAATTGTCTTCTAAGCTATAAATATTTAGACACGATTAAACTATTAGTCAATTCACTAGCTGTAACATGAGTTCAGTTATAATTTCATTGTTTTCTCTGTCTACTCAATTAGTCTATTCAATTACAACTACCTTGTAATAAATAAATGGGACATCATTTGATTACTAAAAGCAGATCATAAATGTAATGCTGAATTTCCTGTTCCATTCAATATGCAGGCTGCTGTGAAACAGGCGCCCCTGAATTATATCAACGCCCACATGCGATTGATTGACCTATGTAGTTACCATTGAAGCAGTGGAGGTGTGTGTAGGAACACACTAGTGTCAAGTAGTCATACCTAGATAAAGGCTTACTGATGAATAATGTAAATCAGCTAGTGCCACGAACAGTAGATATACTCACCGCATATGATGATATAAGAAACGCTGCGTTAGCTCTTTTTCTGGCATCAAAACTTGTGTAGTGAATAATTCTCTTCTTGGCAAGGGAGAAAGACTGAAAAGAGTAATTTTCAAAATTATTTGATGCTCAATGTTTTATTTGTTTCAGGGAGTTTCTGTATCAATTATATTACCAAATCTTCCTTCTATTTCACCAAATCTGGACTGGATATCAAGCCTTGTTATTTAATACACATATATAGTTGATTAACTCCTTGAAATCTAAGTTGAGTTATTTATTGCCCAACTGATATTTGTCATTAATAGGATGTATGTTAATGCCCTGTATATATTTCATCTATAACAGTTTTACCCTGGCCATGCTAGTAGCAGTAATGTAGAGTTAATTGGTATGTTGAATGCCCTGTATATATTTTATCTATAACAGTTTTACCCTGGCCATGCTAGTAGCAGTAATGTAGAGTTTTTTGGTATGTTGAATGCCCTGTATATATTTTATCTATAACAGTTTTGCCCTGGCCATGCTAGTAGCAGTAATGTAGAGATAATTGGTATGTTGAATGCCCTGTATATATTTTATCTATAACAGTTTTACCCTGGCCATGCTAGTAGCAGTAATGTAGAGTTAATTGGTATGTTGAATGCCCTGTATATATTTTATCTATAACAGTTTTACCCTGGCCATGCTAGTAGCAGTAATGTAGAGTTAATTGGTATGTTGAATGCCCTGTATATATTTTATCTATAACAGTTTTACCCTGGCCATGCTAGTAGCAGTAATGTAGAGTTAATTGGTATGTTGAATGCCCTGTATATATTTTATCTATAACAGTTTTACCCTGGCCATGCTAGTAGCAGTAATGTAGAGATAATTGGTATGTTGAATGCCCTGTATATATTTTATCTATAACAGTTTTACCCTGGCCATGCTAGTAGCAGTAATGTAGAGATAATTGGTATGTTGAATGCCCTGTATATATTTTATCTATAACAGTTTTACCCTGGCCATGCTAGTAGCAGTAATGTAGAGATAATTGGTATGTTGAATGCCCTGTATATATTTTATCTATAACAGTTTTACCCTGGCCATGCTAGTAGCAGTAATGTAGAGATAATTGGTATGTTGAATGCCCTGTATATATTTTATCTATAACAGTTTTACCCTGGCCATGCTAGTAGCAGTAATGTAGAGTTAATTGGTATGTTGAATGCCCTGTATATATTTTATCTATAACAGTTTTACCCTGGCCATGCTAGTAGCAGTAATGTAGAGTTTTTTGGTATGTTGAATGCCCTGTATATATTTTATCTATAACAGTTTTGCCCTGGCCATGCTAGTAGCAGTAATGTAGAGATAATTGGTATGTTGAATGCCCTGTATATATTTTATCTATAACAGTTTTACCCTGGCCATGCTAGTAGCAGTAATGTAGAGTTAATTGGTATGTTGAATGCCCTGTATATATTTTATCTATAACAGTTTTACCCTGGCCATGCTAGTAGCAGTAATGTAGAGTTAATTGGTATGTTGAATGCCCTGTATATATTTTATCTATAACAGTTTTACCCTGGCCATGCTAGTAGCAGTAATGTAGAGTTAATTGGTATGTTGAATGCCCTGTATATATTTTATCTATAACAGTTTTACCCTGGCCATGCTAGTAGCAGTAATGTAGAGTTAATTGGTATGTTGAATGCCCTGTATATATTTTATCTATAACAGTTTTACCCTGGCCATGCTAGTAGCAGTAATGTAGAGTTAATTGGTATGTTGAATGCCCTGTATATATTTTATCTATAACAGTTTTGCCCTGGCCATGCTAGTAGCAGTAATGTAGAGATAATTGGTATGTTGAATGCCCTGTATATATTTTATCTATAGAACAGTTTTACCTTGGCCATGCTAGTAGCAGTAATGTAGAGTTAATTGGTATGCTGAATGCCCTGTATATATTTTATCTATAACAGTTTTACCCTGGCCATGTTGGTAACAGTAATGTAGAGATATATTTTATCTATAACAGTTTTATTGTGTTCATGCTGGTAGCAGTAATGCAGAGATAATGGGTTTATCATCAATAAAAAATTATTGATAACAAACATCCTGATGATTTATTTAGCGGCACATGTAATATGATCACTGTGGACTGGTCAATTTCCACTTGTATGTGTATGTAAGCCCCTGCATCAACCAAAAGGTATTTCCAGGTGTTTTTAGTAGGTTTCATCCAGATGTATACATGTCAAGATTTGGATGTTTGAATGAGGACAAAAAGTCACTGAGACTTATTATCTTAGTGTTTATTTATCTATTCTTTCAGGTGTAAATTATAATGTATAATCCTCTACAAGCGACATTAAATAAATATCAAAGGAAACAATTCAAATCTAAGTGAAAGTCATACAATTAATAATAATAATAATAATAATAATAATAATAATTTGAGGTTCTTATGTAGGTCGTCTCATGATCAAAGCGGTTCACAAATTATTATCCGTGGTTATAGGGCCTTTGCAACCAGCCAATATCTTTCTAAACTCCCTGGGGAGCATATAGCTATATATATAGACGGTGCTGCCATTTTGGCGCACACAGAGCTGCTAGCATTCAACAATTCTAGCTCTGCCCAACCACATACTCATTTACAGCTGAGTAGACTGGAACAAGGCGAAGAAAAGTGTCTTTTTTTTAATCCTATTTATCAAAGCCCCCCCAAAAAAGAAAAAAAGAAATTATATTTTACTTTATCAAGGATGATTTACACATGCAGTGTCAAACTATATAGCTACATGCAATGCAATTCAAAAACTTTTATAAAAACTTATATTTTGCAATAAACTTGAAGGAAGATTATCCCCAATTATTTGCTTTGTGTGATAACTTCCAAATACACAAGAAATAGTTTTCAATTTATCATTGAATCTTGCTGAAATGATGATCAATTTTTGGCTTTTATATATTAAATCATTTTAAATACTCTGAATATATAGCAGGAATACAAAACATTGTGTGATACCAAGTACATGTATTACAATATGAAAATTTCAATATCAAACTCTTGATACCATCTATAAAGTATAAAATAAACCAGACGATGTGTTGTTTACTTATCTTACAACTAGATGTACACCAAACAATTTAATATTTGTACATATACACAATACATACATCTGTGCTAATAAAGATTTTACATAAATGTAAATTACAAGGCTATGGGATCATTTCAAACAGGATCCAAATCTGTTCAACACTTCAAACCAAACCGACATCAGACACACGATACCAACACGCCATACACCTATATCATGTATTCTATACATGTACGGTAGGAAGTTACACATTTTTAAAGTTGAGTGCCTCCGCAAACATTCCCTCATATTGATTTTCCAATATCACTGAATTTATAGCCTGATGCCAATAAAAGTACGGACTTTATTCAAAAGTATTTGTATGTTACATACGGGAGGGAGTGACCGATAAGAACTGTACAAAGGCCTCGTTGATTGACATCGAGTTTAATGGGTACGGCGTATACTTATCATACATAAACACCAATTGTGACGACTACCATCTACCTTTCAGACAACTTTGTCTTTTAAAACTCTACATTTAAAATCCATCCATTAACCATATGCAATTCTTTTTGCAAAGAAGCATTATGTTTGTGACTTAGTGAGCTTTTAAATGAACTTTATATCGACTGACAGTAACACTGTGATGACCTATAGCTGATGTGTAAATAAAATCATTGTAATTACATTTCAGCTCAATCCATTACCCTTTAAATTGATTTCTTTTCAATTAATTGAAATAATTTGATATTCTGCTTAGTCAGCAGAAAATAACACTGGGACAAATACCCTGTATGAAGTAAAGATACTATTTAGAATGGTGTATTTTTGAGACAACTTGTACTCGTTACCTTTAGCTATATCAAAATCTTTTTGTGTATATAACCACGGTACATTACTCTATAAATACTAGCCTGTCACACAGTGACAACTCCTCTGTGGCATGTACATATTTATTTACAGGCGACGTATTTATTTACAAGTGACCGACATTTATAGATAGTACATAATATCAGTCCTCTTTAACAATGAGGTAACTGTCTATATGGAATTAAAGTGATAGACAATATGATACGGCTTATATAAACATTCACATAGCAACAACATTAATACTTGTAAAATGTACAGCTATTTTTAAAATGAATTGATAAATAACTTCATTTCCATTGATACAATTTGCTTACAAAGTGATCATATAACAATTGTGCAGATTTATTTCGGACAAATATATATGATCAAGGACTTAATTGTAACCAACATCCTGATGAAGGGCCATCAGGAAACACTGGCATACCTTCATGTACAACCAGCAATTTGTACAAATAATCAAAGATGTCAGTGCACTAGTCGATCAAAGCCTACACCCACACAACAGGGTGATAGCACACATCCCTGTGTACACCTACATCCTATACACCATTAACAGATGATGTAAAGTAGTCTGGCTTGTTTACAAACACATCCTTGAACAGTTGCCATGTAGGAACAACCTTCACCCCAAATCAAACTAATAGGTATCTAACCAACATTTTTATTTTTTATTTTCATGGTCTATTACCTGGAAACTGAATACCAAATCCTATTCAACATGGTGAAAATTTAGACAAAACAAGTTAGATGCATGATTGTCAACATTCACTTGAGACCTAGATAGTTATCAGAGCATTACAGAGGACAGGGCTCCCGCCAGTTTCCTGTGGTGTGAATGTGTTATGTATACAGTACACAAAATAACATGTCTACAGCCTCTATACACATAGGTGCATCTTCTTCAGAAAATGGCAGACTGCCAAGTTGTGAGGCACTGACTATGTAATCTTGTACATGTATATTGCAACAGCATTGTCTTAAAGCAGGTGTGCGTGTACATATGTTGAGAATTGATTTTGTAGCCATATACCTAGATTACTTGTGACGTATATATCAAGTTTGGCTGTGGTGGAACAATCTGTTGTTATACAGATCAAGTAGACACGTATATACTTATCAATACTTCATTTTACGACTTATGTTACCCTCCCTTACTTGTATGATTTAGTTCATATTAACTTAATCTGGGAACTTTGATCTTGTTCTACCATAGAATTGAAGACCTAAAATCGCATTTAATAAATTCTGTCTCAAAGCAAAGTTCTTCAATGACTAAATTCAACAGAAAATGAAATACTGTAAATCAATTATTCAGCGACCAAATCCGGTCATTGAATAGTTAATATGTGCCTACATATATTCATACACAGTAGAAAAAAAAATAGGCCTTAACAATGTTCAGGAGAGATGTCCAAAAACCACACCTTATGGTTCCTGTTATAGATCAGCACCAGCATAATAACAGAAAACTATATAATCCATGGCAGTCTGCTGACACAACTTAGATTATGACACCATCAACTAAAAGTTGTAAAAGACTATGCATTTCTAATCCGATTCATCAGATTGCTTGGGGTCATCAATTGCTTGTCACTTATGTGTGTCTGAGTGAACAATCAAATCTTGTTGCAATCTTGGTTTTGTCTGATGCAAGTCATTCTAGTTCTTACTACAGTATTCCTAATTTAATGTGAACAATTTTTTTACAGGATTTTTCAGTTTCAGCTTCAAATTGAGTATGGGGTTCTATTATGGAAGACTTTGGAAAAATCTGCAAAAATCCTTTTACAAAGAAAATGGGATACCATATAGTTGTTCATAACTTTTATGTCTGTTAACTTATTGTCCCTAACTATACATAATTCATAAATTACTTAACCTTGACCAGATCAGTGTATTGATTTCTGGGACATCTTTTTACAGTAATTGTTAGCAAAGACGTGCCCTACTTTTTTTGTAATTCCAATCTTAATTATGATAAAACCTTTGCTTAAATAAATGTGAAAAACACCATTCCAATGATACAGTGACAGCAGGAACAGAGATCTAACACTGATTAGGGAAAAGAAACTGATCTAAATTGGTGATTTGTGAGCATGCTCAATATTAATTCCTATGATAGCGTGGAACTGTGTTGGGAGTCCAAACTGAGGTACAGCAGCAGCAGCATTCACAGAATGTTGTTCTGGCACTTCAACATCACAAACACTCAAACAGGAAAATCTTTTTACAAATATGTTACTCATGAACATGCAATTTAAACAACTTCAAGATGCAAAGTTTCAATATAAACACATGTATTCTATCTTATGCTAAGATATAGAGTAGAGGATTGGTGTGAATCAGAACAGAACATAATAAATAGACAGTGAACGGATTATGACTTTATAACTACATGGCACTTGTGTACTAGGGTGTGAAGTTGTAACAGAATAGAAAGTTGAAGGTAGATGTATACTGTATTCAATGTAAGTCTATGTATCGGTTATAATATCACTGGTAATAAAAGTATATGCTACTTGTTTGAGTTGTGTAAGTAGAACTTCCAGGAAATCATTTGAAAAAATAAACACCATTTTGTAATACAAAAATAACTGTCTTGTTGCCCTGTTCAGAGGCACAACGGGACAATCTTCCTTCACGATTCCACTATCCCACCAGATGCTGCTGCCTGGTTGTCCATTCGGGTGCCTTACAGCTGGTGTTCTAACTTCAAATGAACACTCATAGTCAAACTCATTTTTTATAAAAGGTGAAATATCAAATTGTTTCAATAATTCCATTTATGTCTGAATGTCTAAGTAATGAAATAAGAGTTGAAACACAAAATCATATTAGATATCAAGAATGTTATTTTTTTGTATATAAGAGGGTAGGGAACCTGGAGGGAAAAAAACAAGCATTTCAAAAATACAACATAATGAGATTTGATGGGTAAAAGGCATTGTCCTTTTTTCTTTGATATTTTTGGTGAATCAAGACTCCATGCACGGATGCAGTAAAGCACTTACATCTGTGACATAGTTATCAAGGTCATTTCCTGTGTTGTCGCAATCATTATCACAGTTGGTCAAACTTATACCACAATGAGCCTGAAAAAGCATGTGATATATTGAACTTAAAAGGTCCCTAAAAATCTGAAATGAAATGTTTCAAAAAAGTGTATAAATGCCATTAACATGTCTGAAAAGTGAAAATACATGCTAATCTTAAGTTTGGCAGAATTCTGAAATCTTGTTTGATTTGATCTCTGCATGGTGTACGACATAGCATGATTCACTCACTGCTTGTGGTTTAGTTGTAAAGTTGAAAATACAGAAGAAACCAAAAAACTTATTCTATCCTCTTACTTGATACTGTAAATATATATTGTCTGAAAAAATGCTAAGAATCACATAAATATTTAAGTTTAACTGTCAGGTAAAATTTGAGGTTTACATATATATATACAACTAAAAATATACTCCATTAGATGCAGTGATCAATCTACTATCAGTTTTAACGGACCTTTTCCACTCTATTGTAAATGGGTTTTACAATGTTACATTTCAGTATTCGTTCCAAAACCCTACGAATCCCTGATAATCAAACCCTACGAATCCCATCAAACCCTACGAATCCCATCAACATTCTGTAAGTATAGGGCCAAGGACTTGAAGTTGTCAGTGAATATTAAGCCAACTGGCCTAACCGGCCCAAATCCTTTTCAAACATTACATATTTAAATTTGTTTCTTCTCTGAATAATTTTAAAATAAAAGTTTAGCATATTTGTTTCATCATAACCTGAATGTTTGTTTGTGTAAAGAAGAAAAGTCAATGGTTCCAAGGGATTAAATTGTTTTTTACAAAATGAACTAATCCACAAACTGACTTTGGTCATTCAATGGCCAGTGACTCATCGTCTCCTCATTTGTATACATGTGCATTGATGTCTACAAGGTACTGGGACTGACACCATGTTTATAAAACTTATAACTTATACTGTTTTCAGTTGATGACCTGATATGAGAAACTAATGATCAATGTAAAATTCAGTCCAGCAATGTCAGGATTTAGTGTGAGTATTTAATACATGACCCAACCTTTAAAACCAGTCATTGTCAACAAATGTGTACTTAGAAGTTAAACGGTCACATTGGACAACTTTTGTTGGTACTCAGCCAAAAAAAAACCACCAAGATTATGTATCATTGGCTATGCATGTGATGTTGATGAAGGAGGGCAACATTTACTGTAATAAAGTATACAGAGCTTGCATTCTTTTTCAATGAAAGACCATCACATCACCGGTTAATTACAATTTAACAATACTCTGTCATACTTGAAAATAGAAAACGACATGCACGAGTCATTTGAATTCACCTTTCAATCTGATAAAAGTACACTCACAGAGTCTGAACCTTCTAGTTTTCGTAACAAATAGATTACTCCATGTCATTTTATTGTGAATTTTTTTCCTACAGGCTACAGTGAAATTTCATCTTTTACTAAATGATTTGGAAATTTTAACTTTAGATAGCTGGACTTGTTACAAAATTATGCAAAAATGTTATGTCCCACCCAGTACAATATGTTCTTGTGAATTGGCAAAAACTACTTGCCCAACTGATTTGTTTAGTTGTGATGGTTATAGGACAATTGGGTTTTCCAAGTCTGATACATATGTAGTAAATGATGAGACATGTGGGATTCAATGTCAGCTGGTCCTGAAAACTAGAGGTGAGGACAACTGAACAGGTATATCCAGCCTTTGATCAAGAAAACTATTCACCTCTCTCAAACTTTGTTTTTTTTAATTTCAGGAAGAGTTTTGGAATAAAATTTTAATACTGAACATGCAAATATTTATAAAACTACACAATTTGTGTAATTGTTGCTTTGTACCTACCTTTAATTTTTTGTTGAGTTTACAACAGTATCTGTACAGCAATGCCAAATTCAGTGGCCCAAAGTCTGCATAGAAGCTGTAAATAAAAAGTTGCACTTGTTAAAAAAAACATTTAAAATATACTGAAACAGATATACTGGCTACATATTGTGATGGTCATTTATCGTGTGTGTGTGTAAAACAACAATTAAAACTTACTTGTTGCCTAGGGTGTTTAGCGTAAGAGACACTTTTTAGGTGTACTTGCCTTAAAGGCAAAATCCTTAGAACAGCATTTTAACATATTTCTTTCAAGCATATCCTTTTTCTGGCAATGTTTGAAGTTGTAATTCAAAGAGAAATGTCAAAAAGAGACAATAAACGGAAATTGACACTAATTTTAGTGGAAAGCACAGACATAGAGGGTGTGTTAATTATTAAATAATTTTGAAATATACAAGATTCATCAAAATGTCTTTTCTTTAAAACTAGGGATATTTCACAAAAACACAACTGTTGCATTTATTTGCATTGAACTCTCAGCAATTAATAATATATTTCAAATGAAATCTCAATTAAAATTGTCACATCTTCAGCACTACCATATGCAGTAAACATGTCCAGTACACTCTGCCGATTGGCTATATAGCTGTAAAGACCTATGATAGCTATATTGAACTATCTGAAATAGGTCTTTTGAGCTATTTTCAGGTGATTTTCTTTTTAAAGGAAAACTAAAGAAAGTTGCTTTAAAACACCATTTTATCATTAGGTTGATAACAAAGACATTAGATATAAGCATTTTTTTTGAATAATGATGTAAAAAAATCGGAGATTTTACATTATTGAAAAGTGAAAATAAACATCTAACGTTAAATGTATGTTTTTTGTTGTCAACATTTCCATAAACCTTATTGTTTTATGCGACTTTGCCTTAATTTAATGAAAATAGAAACCTGAGAAAATATAGTCAAAACAGCTATAATGTATAGGTGAATATAGAGCTATTATAGGTCTTTTTAGCTATAGAGCTCAATCGGCAGAGTGTACTGGACCTGGTAAAGACAGAGTTAGGAATAATGTCTACGGATAGGATAGGAAGATATAATGATCTATCATTAATAGTCAATATTCTGTTTGGGGTAAAAGGTGGGAAATACTTTTCGATAATGAGAACATTGATTTGATTATGAGCCAAAGTGAACCTTATGTAGGCCTAGGGTCAATCACAGGGTCACGTTACAATCACACATATGCTATACTGATATGGGGCATAACACACATAAACGTACTGTATGTGAACTTGATGTGTGTTGTGACCCATATCAGTATAGCATATGTGTGATTGTAACATGACCCTGTGGGTCAATCAAAACTGATTTCCAATTATTGATTGCATGGAGTATTTGGATCGATCTTCAGTACATGTAACAAACATCACTAAATGTAACCTCTCTCACAAATTACTGTATTCAGTGCTAAGGGCTGCACATTTTCCATAGGGAAATTAAATTTCATGGATCAGATCCAGTGGGGGGGGGGTATATTTTCGTACCAAATGATATATTGAGCTAGTTCAAAACGTCGGGACACCTCTGATAATGGTCTTTGTTTACATACTTACTTTTCGTACACAAGTTCATCATCAACACAGAAGTAGTGTGTATGTGCTGTTGATCTTGGTTTGGATCTGAGGGTTGCAAAGTACAATCGATCTGAAAGAGAAAGCATCGATCATCTGTTAAAAATCCAACAAGTTATCGCAAATCAATCTGTCGAGACTTGTTTCACAAGAACACTAATGATTACAGACGGTCTACATATATCACGCTTAAGTACAGGATTTGCAGATAAAGATCACTCACCTTTTATGAATTCTGATGCACTTCCAATGATATCATTTTCATCGGCCATATTCTGTATAGAATACATTGAAATCGTAGTCACCTGGTTGGGATCTCAAAATATGAAGATTCGTTCTCCGAATACACACGGATGGTAAAACTGTTGGTGCTTAAAGCACAATCAAACCGGTCTTTGTTTGCTTAAATATCTCAGTAACATTGGCTGTCTTTTCCGTGTTCCATAAAAACATTAATTATTCAATATCTGCCATAAAAATGTTAAAATAATACGCGAAAACTAGTCACCCCCCTTCGTAACTTCGTAGTTGACGGCCATGTTTGAAATGGAACGAAGTTGAGTGCATAACATCACATGACTCGCTTGAACCAATGAAAATCCAGACAACAATTGTCGTCATGACGATTCGGCTGTAGGCCAATGAAATCTTTGTTTATTAGAAATACTAACATGTGCCCAAGTGTCATTTTCATAAGGAATGTATACACAGTTCATTGGAAACTAACATCTTGTTTAATTCATGCAATTATTAGATATATTCATATAATAATTATGGTACTTTATGGACGACGATCTATATCCGAATACGATTCAATTTCAGTGGTTCGTATATTTGCATAGCATGTTTGAACTCGACTTTCAATCTCCAGGTTTTCACTTTATGGTTGAGAGGCACCAACGGGAGTTACCGACTAATATTGACAAAACGTTTCAGACGTGTTATGAAATTCTTTGTTTTCTGCATAAACCTTACAACAAATTCCACTGATTCGAATATTGAGGTCGTGAGCTTAATATAAACAATACCATGTACATTGTAGACTACATATAATGTGTCTGCAACTAACATCAAGCTGTCATATTTCACAGACTCGGGAGCTAAGGGTCGAATGCCTGGACAAAGGGGGTAACGCTGAATTTAATTTCTTAATGTTCCTTTCTAATTTTCCGGGTTTTCTTTTAAAAAAAATAAGATTAAGATTTATGTAGATATTAATCGATTGATGGACTTCACCTGGGTTAATATATCACTTTCTCAGATCTACATAACCAAATATTCACCGAATTATAATAGGTGCTAAATAACGTTTTCATCATTAAAAAAGTGATGGAACGTATGCAAAGTGTACGAAGGAAAGTACTTCATTTGTCAAAACACAGCGGCATTGCATGTGACGTCGCAATTGAATGACGTCTTAAAATAAATATTAACTTGCTTATTAAAAATAGTAAGACCGAGTCAATATCACAAATCACTAGCCTCCACATAAGTATGATCCAGCCAATGAGGTTGTAGGGAAAATGTGTATCATCTTATATTAAAATATCAGATTATATAGGTCGAGATTAGACCTAAATGTCAAAGAACTATCGATCGATATATGATAATCTTGTTTCAATTCACAAAGCGTGTTCAGATTTTGCTTTTGATTGTAACACGTGAACATTGTGGGTACTAGAAATTTAAGATGTCTGTGCATACTATGTAACATGACTTATGTATTACAAATCGGATATAAAGATGAAATGCATTTTAGTTTGTTTGTCATATCTATTATGAATGAAATATATGCTTGTGTTAACTGCTCCTTCTATTTTTTTTCTATTGTCTACATATGTTGTTTTCGTTTTAACAAATTTTATATATAAATGGATAAGATAACAGGCTAGGTCTATATCAATCTACATGTTGTACCGATTCCAAGAATATTGTGTCTTTATATTTATTTCACTTGGACAAATATGACTAGACATATTTGGGTTGGAGTTCTCATGCACACGGTAAACGTATTTTGTTCAATAGAAGGGTCATTTTACGTTGTTAGACCGGTCTAAGGGACAACACTCAATGATTTATAAGACTCCTCATAAATGTGTATAATATATGGTTTCGCTGTGAAATCGCACAACTTTTCGTCATGCAGAATCTCTTTACAATGGTATGGAATATCAACCTGATGAACTATGTCACGGTCCCTAACGGTCTAAGGGAAACAACTCATTATGATAACGGTTAAAAGATATTTTTGTACATATGGTAAAAAGTTTATGATATGACCATTTTGATATCACACCCCCAATCAGCTAGCCCTCGCGTCCTGATATCAGGACTCTCGGGCCGATATGGGGTGTGATATCAAAATGGTCATATGATAATCTCTAAATATGTCACAAGCGTAATATACCCTGGAGCGTTTTTCATTGGCTGTGCCAGTCAGAAATCGTTTGTGACGTAATAATATGGACAATGACGTGACGTCATCAATTGTGAATTGCGCAATAAAATGTCTGTCTCTGTTTAATTAAGCCCTTTACATTTTGGCTTTAAAAACCTGAAAAATCTGAGTTATGTGATAAAAAGCATCATAAACTGGTTTTCATTTCATATAACTAAGCTTTTATGAAACTCGCCTCGAAGTTTTTAATTTTTGCTCGCCAAGGCTCGCAAAACAAAAACTCCTAAGACTCGTTTCATAAAATCTCATATGAAATGAAAACTCATTAAGATCCTGTATATATATAATGTTTTAACCAGGTGTTTGTAAATATATACCTATTTTTTCTGAATTCGGTCTATGTTAGATGTTCCTGTCTCTTGACCAACTTGACCAATGTTCTTCATTGATATATTTTGGTTTATCAGTCGTTCACAACCTGCGTAAATCGTCTTATAATCGTGCGTCTGCGTACATAATTAATGTCAATCTACCAATTATATACAGGTTGCTATTATGCGTAAACTGAGTGTCTACATATCTGTTATATCCAGGCGTTCACCGTCTGTCTACATACCTGTTATAATAAGGTGTTCACCGTCTCTCTACATACCTGTTATAATAAGGTGTTCACAGTCTGTCTACATACCTGTTATAACAAGGTGTTTACAGACTGTCTTCATACCTGTTATAACCAGGTGTTTACAGACTGTCTACATACCTGTTATAACAAGGTGTTCGCAGTTTGTCTACATATCTGTTATAATCAGGTGTTTTCAGACTGTCTACATACCTGTTATAATAGGGTGTTCACAGACTGTCTACATACCTGTTATAACAAGTTGTTCGCAGTTTGTCTACATATCTGTTATAATCAGGTGTTTTCAGACCGTCTACATACCTGATATACTCAGGCGTGCATAGTCTTTCTACATACCAGTTATAATAAGATGTTCACAGACCGTCTACATACCTGTTATAACAAGACGTTCGCAGTCTGTCTACATGTCTATTATAACCAGGCGTTTACAGACTGTCTACATACCTGTTATAATCAGGTGTTTACAGACTGTCTACATACCTGTTATAACAAGGCGTTCGCAGTCTGTCTACATACCTGTTATAATAAGGTGTTTACAGTCTGTCTACATATCTGTCATAACCAGGCGATCGCAGTCTGTCTACATACCTGTTATAATAAGGTGTTCACAGTCTGTCTACATACCTGTTATACTCAGGTGTTCTCATACTGTCTACATACCTGCTTTATTCAGGCGTTCATTGTCTGTCTACATACCTGTTATAACAAGGTTTTTACATTCTGTCTTCATACCTGTTATAATAAGGTATTCGCAGTTTGTCTACATACCTGTTATAACCAGGCGTTCGCAGTCTGTCTACATACCTGTTATAATAAGGTGTTTAAAGACTGTCTACATACCTATTATAACCAGGCGTTCGCAGTCTGTCTACATGTCTATTATAACCAGGCGTTTACAGACTGTCTACATACCTGTTATAACAAGGTGTTTATATTCTGTCTTCATATCTGTTATAATAAGGTGTTCGCAGTCTGTCTACATACCTTTATATTAAGGTGTTTACAGACTGTCTACATACCTGTTATAACAAGATAACGGGTAAGTGTCACCACTCAACCGTCTAAACAAGACAACGGTTAAGTGTTACCACTTCACCGTCGAAACAAGACAACGGGTAAGTGTCACCACTCCACCGTCTAAACAAGACAATGGGTAAGTGTCACCGCTTCACCGTCTAAACAAGCCAATAAGTAAGTGCAACCACCTCAACCGTCTAAACAAGTCAATGGGTAAGTGCTACCACTTCACCGTCTAAACGAGACAATGGGTAAGTGTCACCACTTCACCGTCTTAACGAGACAATGGGTAAGTGTCACCACTCCACAGTCTAAACAAGACAATGGGTAAGTGCTACCACTTCACCGTCTAAACGAGACAATGGGTAGGTGTCACCACTCCACCGTCTAAACAAGATAATAGGTAAGTGTCACCACTCCACCGTCTAAACAGGATGATAGGTAAGTGTCACCACTCCACCGTCTAAACAAAACAATGGGTAAGTGTCACCACTTCACCGTCTAAACGAGACAATGGGTAAGTGTTACCACTTCACCGTCTTAACAAGACAGTGGGTAAGTGTCACCACTTCACCGTCTAAACAAGACAATGGGTAAGTCTCGCCACCTCAATCAATAACTGAAATAGAAATGTATACTTTTACCGAATAAGAAAAACGTTTTCGATTCGTTCAGCTTGACACATATATGTTTGAAGTATGTATATATATATAAACAAGTACCGCAACATCAGGCCATACATAATAACCATATAATCAGAATATCAATCCAATGACAACGTTATATAGATAAATGATAAACTAACGAATAACAAAAGGTTAAAAAAGACATTGAATACGATACATAATGGACTTTAAGTCTCTGTATCCATACCAAGCAATAAACAAGAGGCCTATTGGGACCGAATCGCTCACCTGGTATTAATCTTACGTTTGTTATCTTAAAAGTGGACTAAAATACAGCTACAGGCAAAATACCAGTGTTTGATTCAAAAGAATCTATTAAAATATTTAAACATGTGACACACGTGACCTTGAAAGTCAAACAAGGACATTAAGTTGAACAGACTTTATAGCCTTTCATACCAGCATGCTTCTAGCGAAATATCATTACCCTGGACCTTTAGATTATTTAGAAGTTGTTTAAAGATTTCAACATATTTGACCCCTGTGACCTTGGAAATGGGTGAAGGTAATTTATTTGAATACACTTGGTTTAAACTTTCTTTTATTCAAGTATTTCAATTATATACATATATATGCAATACATATATACAAATTTAACATTTTGTAACAAAACACAAAATAGGAAATAGACACTTATTTAAATCTATCGCCTTGTCATAATCTGCAAAATATATTCAGGATGGACAGCATATTGTCTCCAATGAAAAATACATACAATAATACAATCAGTGACAATAGTTTAAACAAGGAGAAAGAAAAGGAGTTAATTAATGGTGAAGGGTTTTGGTTGTTAATGGGTTTTACTTGTTCTTACATACGTACAATTCGGCTTTAAGCACA